TGTCGCGTTTGGTTACTACTTACTACCGCTGTACTGCAGCAGGCTACATCCCGTGTGCATCGGCGGAAGGGAAGTAAAATTTACGATGATATGCTGACTCAGCGTGTGAGGAAGGTCTTCTACAAGTAGAAAGCGAGATAGAAAGGCTCCGTTATTTTCAATTCCACATCAGCACCACATCCGTGATCCATATTTCCATTGGAGAGAAAATTTTATCTCATTATGATGTGGCAATGCATTTTTCATGAATCGGTGGTGCCACTAAAGATGCTCTAAGGATGTATTGTGGATATTCTATATTTACTAAATAGATCGTGACGCACTTTACCTTCTTCTTTGTTTGTTCTTTAGAATAGCCATCAACTCCTTAAATAATCACTCAAATACTCATACTTAAAAGATCCGACAAACCCGCTTTGGGCTTCCGGGGTGCTAGAACTTAACCTCAACAGACACAAATAAATTTGCACGAACATGGAATTAAATTAGTTATGGTGATTTTTAAATGAAATTTACGTGCTACAATTATATTCAATTTAGTTTGATTCGGGAATGGTATTGAACTATTGATCGCATGGGATTGAAATATAATGTAATCAATAAATCCATATAGAAATTAGAAATGCACATATATCCTAGATAAGTTTAATGATGTGTGACATATTCACTAATTAGTATGTATGTCGATGAGGTTAACACATTGAGCACGTGTGTTCAATAAGTACATTAAATTAACACAAATAAATTATCATATATTGAAACAGATAGCACGTAGAAGCAATTGATTACTTTCACATGTAATAACTTGCTCATTAGCAAGAGGGGAGCCAGATTGTGGTGGAGGTAGGGCCGTAGGGGTGTTTTAAATCTTATGGTACGGTTAACCAATTGATACAAAAGCGGTTTACAGTACGATTACAACTTTGAAATTAAATACCGCCGGTTAATCGTTAATAAAGTTAAAATATTACTCCGGAATTCATACGTACATTTTGCTTAACAATTTTCGAATTACTATTCATTTATGTTCGATCCAGTATGAATTCAGGCTTGTGGCTGCCAGGTTGCAATTTGAGTGTAACAAAAATACATCATGAATTCATATAACCAATGTTGACACCAAATGACTCGAGACCATCAGTTCATTTTGGTATCAACATACCCGGTCCTAAGAGGCAAGGATAGTCTGGAGATGATCTTGGCCGAGGCCATGACTGCCGGAAGAACAGGGCTGGAGCTCTCAACCATTGCGGACAAATGTCTCATCCGAAGACTTTCTCCGAACATGTGGGTAATACGACTACAATTACCACACTAAATATAGGGGAGACAGAGAAGTATAAAGACTGAATGAATGGATTGAGAAATATAGGCTCCAGCTATGAGAATTGAGAAATCTCTGGCGAACGAACAAACGAAGACATGGAAATGGCCGAACTGCCTAGAAGATATGGCTGAAAATTGATTTTCTAAAATGTTTTTTTTGGTTAACCAATTAATGGCTAACATATATTACGTATTATTATTAAATGTTACCCGATTAATTGTCTTCACAGTAAGCTGAGTGATATTATAAACAATTAAACATACCAACCGATATCAATTTGGAGGGGGTGTTATATGTTGCTTCACTGCTTGCCCTTAACTTTTGGCAACACCTACCTTTATACTCCCTCCGTCCCAGGGAGAAGTTCCCGGGTTGACTTTCACACACATTAAGGAAATAAAGTTACTGGGGATAAATTTTACTGTTTGGCACTGTTTCGACACTGTTTGGCACTGTTTCGACACTGTTTTGCACTGTTTTGCACTGTTTGACACTGTTTTGATGTAAAATAACTTTCCATTTAAGGAAATGGGAACTTCTTGTTGAGACTGCCAAAAAAGGAAATTGGGAACTTCTCTCTGGGACGGAGGTAGTATTTGTTTTAGTTTTACACAGTTGATTCAATCATATACAACGTATAATATTATATACGTTGGGAGATAGTCAATGTGTTTTACACTACCACACCAAAAAATAAGTATCGATCTTAAAATAGGTATTAGTAAAAAATGATATGTATTGATAGAGTATATAGACTCGGACCCCCGGGTATCACGACTATTGGGCCCGGACAGTGGCCCACACACGCTTCACTGATATCATTTATATTATTGTACTGTCCGATTTGTATTTGTATCCACTAGATTAGCCTTTTTTATATCAGTCCATTTATGTAACCGGGTCTGTCGGGCCCATATTAGAGGCCCAGACCCGGATTTCCTTATTTATACTCCTCTTGGAGCTTCTTGTAACCCTAAGTCATAATTCCATAATCCAATACTATTCATCTTCTTCCTCACCTCTCTTGCTCAAATCTCTCCTAATAATTATATGCTTGGATCCATATAATCCATCAATGGTGCTCTCATTGAGAGTTGAAGCATAATCAAGTGAGAAATCCTCCCAAAACACTCAAAAATCATCCAAAATACAAAAAATCTGTCAAAAACAGATCTGAAAATGTCAAGAAGAAGCCGCTTATGTCGCCGCCGTCCATCTTGCCGTCGTACGCCATCTGCTGAAGCTCGCCGCACCAGGTGGGGTTCGCTGTGCTGTTCTCAGGAAGTGTTAACATCGTTCAGAGAGGAAAGACCCAGTTGGCAGATTTGCGGTGTATACTCCGTCACCTCTCGCGTCATCACACGCCGCCTTCTCGGGCGTCACCTCCGGCGTCATTGTTGTCGCCGCTCGTGGCTCCACCTAGCCAGTCACCAGCTGCTTCTCCACCTTCAACGTTGCCGCTCGCGAGTCCACATCGCCGTTGACGTGGCCTGATGGATCTTCCGATTCAAGATCCGCCATTAATGGTGGCTTGGGGTTCGTGAAAAGCAGATTCAAATCTCTTCTGGATGAGCATCTATGGTGGTCGTTGTCTCAGTATCCATCAACCTTGCCGCCCTCTGCCCTTGCTTCTTTTGACCGCAAAGTGTGACTTCTTTCTGGTGGCGGTGAGCTGTGCAGATCGTGGACGAGCCGGCGTGATGGACGTAGCTGGATCAGACATAGACATATACAAATCAGTTGACCGGGTCAATTGTCCTGATCCGTGGCCTAAAAGAGCCCATAAGTAATGCATTTCACTATCATGTTTGGCCGAGCAGATATATTCCTAGCCAAGCGAAAGAGATTAACAAAGCTAAGTGCTCTTTCTCTGCTTTTTATATAATTTCCCAAATTCACAAATTGAATCAAAAGTCCAAAAAGTCATAAATGAAATATTTTAATAATATAGCAAAACACTTCAATCTTGAGGGGCGAGTCATCCGTTAAAAGATCCCGAAAAGCGCGGACTGGCGGATTCGAACTACGAACTTGAGTGACAAGTTGAGCTAGATTATTAATTTATTATCATTAATTTTAAAGACTTCCAAAAAAGAAAGTCATAAAAATGAAATATTTTAATAATATAGCAAAAAACTTCAATCTTGAGGGGCGAGTCATCCGTTAAAAGATCCCGAAAAGCGTGGACTGGCGGATTCGAACTACGAACTCGAATGGCAAGTTGAGTTAGATTATTAATTTATTATCATTATTTTTTTAAATAGTGTGTATTTTTTTTACATTGAAAAACGGACTTATTCCGAGCACCCGCGTACACCGGCGGACTATTGAAGTCTCGCGCCACGGGTCACGACAAACGGGTGTGGTGATAAATAAGCTTCGAATCCAAATGTTGTCTAATACACACTCTGGTTTCTATGCCCAACATAGAAACAAAATTTGAGCTCCAGCTTAAAAGTTTGAGGCCATTTAATGTAGGCCCAAATCCAATAACGAATTGAAAGCTCAAGAAATTATAACAATTTTATTTGAATGCATAGGTGCAATTAAATGATGACCAGGACTACTTAGCATGCCGAGCTACTCACATTGAGAGACTGGTCTCGGCCATCTCCTCAGCAGACGGACACCGTTGCAGCTCTGTGCCTAGGCCGAAAGGTTCACCCCTTTTTGCTTCATTTTGGGGGCATCCGATGTACTCTTTTTCCCTCATTAGGATTTTTTCCCACAGGGTTTTTTCCTAATGAGGTTTTTAACGAGGCATCTCCCCAACGTGGACAAAAGGTGTCGACCCTCGGTCTCTATTGAAGACATCACGAGGCATGCACTACTCTACTCCTCTTCACCTCATTACATTCACCTCAAGGAGTGGGGGACTGGAAGAGCGGGGGACTTAGCACCACCGTTAACCAAAGAAGCAGAAATTCCAAATTTTTAACGAAGTTTACTCACCAGACGATGACATATCAGCACACAGTTCTACTCTCTTTCGCCTCGAGTACTCTCGACTCAGAGAGTGGGGGACTCCTGATAGAGTATATAGACTCGGACCCCCGGGTATCACGACTATTGGGCCCGGACAGTGGCCCACACACGCTTCACTGATATCATTTATATTATTGTACTGTCCGATTTGTATTTGTATCCACTAGATTAGCCTTTTTTATATCAGTCCATTTATGTAACCGGGTCTGTCGGGCCCATATTAGAGGCCCAGACCCGGATTTCCTTATTTATACTCCTCTTGGAGCTTCTTGTAACCCTAAGTCATAATTCCATAATCCAATACTATTCATCTTCTTCCTCACCTCTCTTGCTCAAATCTCTCCTAATAATTATATGCTTGGATCCATATAATCCATCATGTATATTAGTAACAGAGTTATGACTAGTTATGTTTTTGGATAAAAATATGATTAGTCAATATGTATGAGTAAATAGATAAGAGTCACTATAGTGTATTTTAAAATAAAAAATTATTGGTAGATGATGAGTTACTAAAAATTAATCAATGAATTCAAGTAATATTCAAGAAACAAGCTTTTAAACTAATTCATCTAGTTGTTAGACTAGTTAGTTATGGCTTTTAGAAATTTTGACCAAAGTTGAGCCATTGACTCCACTTCTAGTCAATGCTATCTCCTCGAAACTTCTCAGTTCTCACCGGGTCGTATTCGGCATGATCTTCCTGTCCAGAATCATGTACTAATCTCCGGAGCACAGGTCTTTCTCTTTTCCACTCCAATACACAGACCTTTCTTCTAATTTTTGCATCTATGGGTCTATTGCATCTCAATGGGTTAAGCCCAACTCTAAAAATTCTCGTTGCGGCGGCAGGATGCTTCGTATTGAGCTGCATCGTCACCTGCATCATCATCCTCTGCGTAGTCTCCAAATACCGGAGCCGCCGGCCTTCCTCCATATCCGTTCTCGAGAGCGCAACTTTCGATCCAGCGGATATCAACCGGATCGACATGCCCGAGCTGGTCCAAGCGACCCGAGACTTTTCGCCGGACCTCATAATTGGAGACGGCAGCTTCGGCCTCGTTTACAAGGCCAAGCTCTCCTCCGGCCTCCAAGTCGCCGTGAAGAAGCTCTCCGCCGACGCCTTCCAGGGCTTCCGCGAGTTCCGGGCCGAGATGGAGACTCTCGGTAAGATCCGGCACCCGAATATAGTGAAGATGATCGGGTACTGCTCCGCGGGCTCGGATCGGGTCCTGATTTACGAGTTCGTGAAGAACGGCAGCCTGGACCAATGGCTTCACTACACGTCGGCGTGTGACGTGGCGGAGTCGGCCCAGCGGGAGCCTCTGAGCTGGGAAACGAGGGTTAAGATCGTCAAAGGAGTGGCGAAAGGGCTGGCCTATATGCACAGTTTGGACCGTCCGATCATTCACAGGGATATAAAAGCCAGCAATGTCCTTTTGGATGAAAACTTCGAGTCCCGGATCGCAGATTTCGGATTGGCGAGGCAGACCGAAGGGTCCCACATCGACGTCTCCACGCAGGTGGCCGGAACGATGGGGTACATGCCGCCGGAGTACATCCACGGCGCGGCGAGGGCCACCACGATGGGAGATGTGTACAGCTTCGGGGTATTAATGTTGGAAATTGTCACCGGCAGACGGCCGAACTTCCCCTTCGCCGGAGAGGACGGCCGGGATATTAGGTTGGTGGAATGGGCTAGAAACATGGTCTCGCAAAACCGGTACGATGAGATTATTGATTCGAAGTTGTCGGTGTACGGTCCGAATGAAAATGATCTGACCCGCTACTTCAGGATTGCAACAATGTGCAGCAGTGAAACAGCTAGGGAGCGACCTATAATGAATGATGTTATAATTATGTTAGAACGATGGTATAACTGAGTTTAGTTCATTCCTTCGAGTATGATCTTTTGATACATCGGAAAGGAATTCCCTCGAGTATGATCAATTCAAAGGAGTTTGTGTTATCTACTTTCGTCCCATTTTATGTGTCTTAGTTTGACTTGACACGATTATTAATGAGATGGTTGAAATAATAAAAATTGTGGTTGAGATTTGAGTGTAATAAAGTGGAATGATGTAGACCACATATTTCTTTCTAGAAAAGGAAAGAAGATACTTATTTTAGGACAACCCAAAAAGGAAAGTAAGACATGTAAAATGGGACGGAGGAAGTAACTTGTAAATACTTCGGACTAGTTAATACTCATCCGTCCTTTAAAACTTTATCATCTTTCCATTTTAATCAATTATTTTGTGGTTTCTGTTATTTCTCTCTCCTCTACACAAACTTCAACCACACAGTTTTTACTTTATTATTCTCTGTGTCGGTCAACTTTGGCAAAGTTTTAAGGGACGGAGGTAGTAATTATTTTTGTTTATAAACAATAAAAAATGAGATATGAGATCTTTAAAAGGAAAAACTTTCAAATAAACTCTTCAAAATTTCAAGTATAGCGAAAAAACCAATTAAGCCCTCTAAGCAAAGAAACACCCAATCAAATTTATGAAGTTTAAAAAAACGACCAATTTCGAGTTTACCGGGTTACCCACCGGCTAAATTTTTATGAAGGTTGAAAATAAATGATAGCGTTACATTCCCCCATTCACTTTTTTCCAAAAAGAAATCAAATTTTATTAAAAAGATTGAAAGTAATACAACAAAAGCAATAAAGAAGAATAAATCAAGCTAAGGAAAGCAAACTAATCCCCTATCGTACAACGTTTAGTCCACCATTTTCTATGCATCCTACGACGTCGAACACAGTTGGCATCATACTGAAGGACCTCTACGTGCTAGTCATTCATGCATCACCAGGTAAAGCCCTCACTGCGGAAAGCGATTTGAAAATGTGTAGTACGGTTCACTCCGGATGTTAATTAGATGTTGGTAATGTATTTGTCTTTAGGGGTGGAATCAATCTGGTTTAATTGGATCGGGTTTTGCTAAACCCGAAAATTACTCGTAAGGTCTCGGGTTATGAGAATTAGAGACCGGAATAAAGCCCATTATATTTGGTCCGAGTCGGGTTTTTTGTAGCTCAGATTTCGGTTCAGGTTGGGCCGGTTAAAGCCCAAATGTGAAATCATCTCATTGTCATTTATAGTATACTTTAAAACCCATTTTCAAATAAAATTAATCAAACATACAAAGTGAAAATAATAATACAAATATTAGTTTCCAAAATCACCAACAATTCAAATACAAAGAATATAGTTATCTTAATCTTTTGTTTAAGATGAATGCAAATAAATATTATGCGTGTGATGGACAATCTACCCGGGGGGTATCTTATCCGAGGGGTTATTGCGGGAATAACTAGAGAGAAGTCAGAGTAAATAGGAGGAGAGAGAGTCGATTTTATTAAATGAACTCAGTGTGATTTACAAAGTGAATAAGGGCTGCTATTTATAGCAGCAATAAATGCGATGAGAGTACACGTGTCAGTAATCCAACGGCCGAAGGGTCACATCAGCCGGGTGGCACCGACAGTGGTACGTTCACCGCATTGAATGCAGTTGGCGGATGTGACGTGGCATTAAATGCGGTGGTTGGATGTTTCCATAAGGAATCTTCAATGATTGAGCATGTTTGGCCGAAGGCTCCTTGTGTAGCCGAGGGCTCCATGTGGCCAAGGACCCCTGTGTAGCCGAAGGCCTTGTGGGACCGAAGGCTCGATTCAGCCGAAGGCTTCTCTGATGCCGAGGGCTTGATAATGCCGAAGGCTCATGTTTTTCGCCGTTTTCTCCCAGTAGCTTCTTATGCCGGAGAAGGCTATCCTGTGAGTTTTGGAGCCTTCGGCCAAGGAGGCCGAAGGCACCCCAGCGTGTATTCTGGGCTACTTTGAGGCTTGGGCCGTCGCATTTGGGCCTGAGTTGTTCTCTGGGCTCAAAGGGACTTGTGTAGGAGAAGTAGGAGTCTATGGGCCGGGGGTTCCTGGGCCATATACTCCATCAGCGTGTTCTAAAAATATTACTAAATAAAATCTATGGATAAAAATGTGATTAAAGTTACTATAAATATATTTTCATGGTCATTACAGTTTACAAAATTTTACATATTTGTAGTCACTGAAAACTAGTAAATCATTTTTTCATTCTATATTAGCAATTATTTATAGATTAGTTTCGTATATTATAACGATTTTATATTAAAGTTAACTGTTTTGGATTTTAATCGTCCAGGCCGAGTTATAGATTTTGGGGCCCATTATGAGCCCAAACTTTCAGGTTTGGTCCAGTTTTTTTATTCGGGCCAGTTAAAAAGAAAAAACTTGGACCAGGAACATCATTGGCCAGAGTCGATTTCCGAGTTTTGGTTTGGGTTTCCCCACCCCTATTTGTGTTTTGGGTTCTTCGCCGTAATTAAAGTGTTTGCTGTTGTTTAGAGCCATTAATGATGCTTGAAATGTTATTATCTTATACTTTGTATTTCATTAATCTCGTTTCTTATACATGTACAAAGGTGGTGCGGTAAACCATGTTACTATAGACCCATACCTTTTGAAGTTTTTAAAAGCAAGAGCGTATGGGAACGCGGATGGATTGTATTTTAAAGAAATTAATTGAGGACCTTTATTTAATGACGAGTCAACTCTTGACCTAATTGTTTTAGCCAGACAATGTGGAGGTTGTGATGCATATGTGAATCACAGTATTGATGATGTAGAGTTGGTGGACTTGCTCCCTTTACCTGCACCACACGAGAAGAATTAGAAGATGGAATGACTTACATTTAAGATGAAGATAACAATCCATTTCATGATACTGAAAGCTCTGAACAACATGAAGAAGCAAGAGAAAGTGGTAAGTAAGTTGATTGTGAAGAAGGGGATATAGGTGAAACACTTGTTGAGTTTGAAGATGTTGACACTGACCTGAGCGATAACATGAATGGCATTGTGAATGAAGAGTCTGACAAAAATGCAAATGAAGAAGAACATTAGCGAGTTAATAACATTCAAGGAAAGCGAAAGAGCCCAAATGGTGAGAGTGATAATGACTAAGAAAATATTGTGGAGTATGACCCGACAGACCTCCTCCCTGCATATCTGAAGAAGAATCAGATGTCACAAATGTAAAACCCAAAAAGGTTACGCATTCATCATTTTACCCCGATTTTGACCCGCCTTTAATACATATAGGCATGTTGTTTGAAAATAGTCGTCAGTTTAAGAATGTTATAATTTCCTACGTTGTTGTTCTAAAAAAATATGTGTATTTTTATAACAATGAGCCCAAGAGAGTGAGAGTTAGATGTAGACCACCTGCCCTTACAATTGCACTACCACTTGGAATGATATCTTAAGACTGCTTTCAAGTTGTGGTTTTAAATTATAAACACAAATGCGACTGAAAGTTTAGGTTGAGAGTGGTTAGTCAGAAATGGTTAGCTGATAGGTTTGAGGAGAATTGAAGGTGTTGGGATAATGACCCAAATAAAGGGCCGACCCATTCACCCCCTTATCCAGATGAACGTCTATCCCAATGGGCCAGCCAGTCCCGACGAACGTCTGCACGAAGACAAGTGGATTAGACCTACAGGTAATCACAACGGCGACGAACGTCGCCTCCAGAAGCCACAACCATTTGGAGCCAGTCCAATCCGTGTAACAAATCTTTCAAGGGCCAGGATACGAACGACCCATTACCCTTTGCAGTATCATCAGGAGCAGGCCCCCATCCCGGCTGGACGTACGTCTCCACAACTTAGGCGGGAAACTCAGATTCTGGCGGGAAGCGCATTTAATGCAGGAGATCTGGGGCTGCGGCAAACTGCCCATTGGTAGTATAAATAGCAGCATTTATTTCATTGTAAAGGGTTGACAACTTACTATTCTTAGCACTCTGGCTTATATTTCTCTTACTCGCAGCTCTTCTACTGCCTTGTAAGACGAACGACCGACGAGCCTTAGCAAGCGTATTGTATTAGGGAGTTATTAACTGATTAATAATACCTGATCTCTTACTTGCTAGTTACCATCTCTTAATCCATCTTATTTGTTTGTTGGGCTAGTTTATTCACACATATACACCACTCCACTCGAGATCTTTGGGCTTACGTGTTGGACCCAAAGGTTGAAGGAATAAACCTCAACAGAAGGTTTCGGAAAATCTTTCCCATGGTCAAAGCTAACTTGAAAGTTTCCATTAGTTTGGTTACGCGGGCATTGGGAACCATTCATGAGAAAATACAAGCTTCTTTTAAAGACTAGTTTAAAAAGCCTGGGAATTATAGTGAAAAGTGTCTAAAAAATGCATCCCTAATAGCACTGTGGTGATGAAGAGTGTAGAAAGGTCATTGGGCTAGACAGATGTTTAATGAAAGGTCAGCTGAAGAGTGAGATCTTGGCGGCCGTTGGGAGAGATGCAAATAATGAGATGTATCATATAGTTTGGCCAGTCGTTGAAATCGAGAATAACCATTCATTGACATGGTTTTTGGAGTTATTAAGGGAGGAATTTTATATACAAAGGCCTGGCATATGGATTCTCAATTTTTATCAACAGAAGGCATCTCATAATTACTTTCCCTAATCTAATATTTTCCCCACATATTTGTAATTTAAGGGTAGACTGGTCATACTGCTTCCCATTGTCATATTCTGAAGGGACTTTGCAATGTCATTGCAAAGGTGTTCCGTGAGGCTAAGCAAAGAAATTGTGCTCGTCATATCCATGCAAACTAGAGCAAAACCCATAGGGGTATGGCGCTTATGTAACGACCGTCCCCAAAATGGCCATTACGATACTCAAACAATAAAGATACTCAATAAATCAAGTGGAAATAAAGATACAAAGCCTCGAGCTGAGACTCTATTTCCTTTAAAACATAATCAAAACTTACAACCATAACGAAAGACATCCAAAAGAAAACACCTTTAAAACTCTTACACCTGATCAGGATTTTAAAACATTTAACATCCCTTTGAAGTACCAACGTATTAAAACAAAATATAACTGACAGCCAGATCTTCTCCGTTAACCCGTCCAAAACCTTGTCACCGGCTCCATACATTCTCTCAGGTTTCCGTACTCCGTTTATTACCTATACATGAGAACATAAGAGAATAGAATTCTCATAAGCAATAATGCTTAGTAAGTCACCATTTTGTCCACTAAAAAACATTTAGGGAATCTTAGCTAATCATAAATTAATACCCATGCTGAATACATCACACATATACTATAATCACAAATGATAACAACACATAAGCATTCGTGTATCAAACACCAAGAGATTTCCTTATTCATCATTCTTTCTT